CGTTCTTGTTACTGTACACACAGCTTACGTTCTTGTTACTGTACACACAGCTTACGTTCTTGTTACTGTACATACAACTTAGTTCTTGTTACTGTACACACACACCTTACTTTCTTGTTACTTTACACATAGCTTACGTTCTTGTTACTGTACACACACACCTTGCGTTCTTGTTACTGTACATACAGCTTACGTTCTTGTTACTTTACACACACAGCTTACGTTCTTGTTACTGTACACACAACTTACGTTCTTGTTGCTGTACACACACCTTACGTTCTTGTTACTGTACACACACCTTACGTTCTTGTTACTGTACACACACCTTACGTTCTTGTTACTGTACATACAGCTTACGTTCTTGTTGCTGTACACACACCTTACATTCTTGTTACTGTACATACATCTTACATTCTTGTTACTGTACACACACCTTACGTTCTTGTTACTGTACACACACCTTACGTTCTTGTTACTGTACACACACCTTACGTTCTTGTTACTGTACACACACCTTACGTTCTTGTTACTGTACACACAACATTTTTGCTCCATGTTTTATGATCACTTTACGCTAGTAGAATTTAAAATCCTTAATTTTACCGATATTTTACAACTAGATTTATATTTATGTAAAAAGCTAACGATCTTTTAGTATGGTGGTTGCTTAATGAATGAAACACATCTGTTAGCACTAACATAGATACAGTAGATGATCACGGTATTTTTGTTCATCTCTAATTCAAAAAACATTTTTGTAAAACGCTTTCCCCACGAAAGTATGAAACAGTTTGTGTTCATACCGTGCTTCAAAGTTTCCACTGACTTGACATCTGTCGCAGGACCTGAACCTTTGTCGTTAAAAGCTTGAACAATGACGTCATATACAGTGGACCTATCAAGCTGGGTGATGTCGCAGTGATAATCTGTTTCCATGGTAGCAGCAACTGTTTTGTAAGAGAACGTTTTCTCATGATCTCTTCGACGGTATCCCACGTAGTAGCCCATTATACGATGGCTATCTTTCGAGACGGGTGCCTGGATAACTCAAACAATTAGTTGTTTATTCAATTAACTAAGCCTAATTATTAATTAGTTACGTTATTACCTAACTACAAATTATTACTTTGAATATTAGGCATTAATTACTTACATTACAAACATACATATATATATATAGGCAAGACCAAAACCATAGGTAGGCAATGAACAATTATTTTCCCGACAGGGATCCAGCAGTGTGTTGTCTGTCAGTGAGTCAGTAGACGCTAAAATGACGTCACGTAAGGGATGCTTAACGGTACAATTTATACTGTTGTAACGTCAATACAAAGTGCGCATGCCATGAATCACGAGAAGAATTATGCACTCTGTAGGCTACAAAACAGCGTGACATATGAACTTGAAAAACAAAAAAAAAGTATTTGTTACTCTTAATTATGGTTTTATTTACTCTTGAAACAGAACACTTTCGGGGAACATGAGGAAGTACATCTAGTACATAGGCAAGGCTAAAACCATATGTAGGCAAGGTTACAACCGTATATAGGAAAGGTACAATCATATATAGGCAAGGCTTAAACTAAGTGTACGAAAGCTTAGAACTCTTTATAGGCAAGGCTAAAACCATATGTAGGCAAGGTTACAACCGTATATAGGAAAGGTACAATCATATATAGGCAAGATTACAACCGTATATAGGAAAGGTACAATCATATATAGGCAAGGTTACAACCGTATATAGGAAAGGTACAATTATATATAGGCAAGGTTACAACCGTATATAGGAAAGGTACAATCATATATAGGCAAGGTTACAACCGTATATAGGAAAGGTACAATCATATATAGGCAAGGCTTAAACTAAGTGTACGAAAGCTTAGAACTCTTTATAGGCAAGGCTAAAACCATATGTAGGCAAGGTTACAACCATATATAGGAAAGGTACAATCATATATAGGCAAGGCTTAAACTAAGTGTACAAAAGCTTAGAACTCTTTATAGGCTAGGTAACAGCTATATTTAGGTAAAGTTAAAAGTACCTTAAGAATAAATTAATCATGAATTGTTGTGTAGGTATATGCATATGTAACAAGGTATATGCGGCCAAAGCCAAATGTAAGCAAGGTATATGCGGCCAAAGCCATATGTAAACAAGGTATATGCGGCCAAAGCCATATGTAACAAGGTATATGCGGCCAAAGCCATATGTAAACAAGGTATATGCGGCCAAAGCCATATGTAACAAGGTATATGCGGCCAAAGCCATATGTAACAAGGTATATGTGCCCAAAGCCATATGTAACAAGGTATATGCGGCCAAAGTCATATGTAACAAGGTATATGCGGCCAAAGCCATATGTAAACAAGGTATATGCGGCCAAAGCCATATGTAAACAAGGTATATGCGGCCAAAGCCATATGTAACAAGGTATATACGGCCAAAGCCATATGTAAACAAGGTATATGCGGCCAAAGCCATATGTAACAAGGTATATGCGGCCAAAGCCATATGTAAACAAGGTATATGCGGCCAAAGCCATATGTAACAAGGTATATGCGGCCAAAGCGATATGTAAACAAGTTATATGCGGCCAAAGCCATATGTAAACAAGGTCACTGCCCTTGTATGATGTGCAGGGTCACATCAATAGTAACATCATAATCATGATAAATCAAGGTCGCAACCATATTTTAGTAAGATCGTATGTAATATCACAAACATAACAAGACAAGGTCAGAAGAACTGTTACAACAATAACAAGACAATTTCAGATGAACTGTTACAAAACAACAAGACAAGGTCAGATGAACTGTTACAACACTAACAAGACAAGGTCAGATGACCCATTACAAAAACAACAAGACAATATCAGATGAACAGTTAGAATAATAACAAGACAAGGTCAGGTGAAGCATTATAACAATAACAAGGTCAGACGAGCCTTTACATCACTAACAAGGCAAGGTCAGAGAACTGTTACAACAATAACAAGGTCAGATGATCCATTAGAACAATAACAAGACAAGGTCACATGAACTGTTACAACAATAACAAGGTCAGACATTGATTGAAAAGTAGGGCTCTAGCCATGTGTCATTTGTTTATTCTATATTTAAGGTTTAAGAAAAGTCCTTAATTCTGCCAGTAGTTTCGATACATATATCAACTTGATTTGAAGATGTGCCATTTTAATAATTCTTTCTTTAAAACCTATTTAGGTTTACAAATTTTTAATCGTATTACGTGAACTATTATCATCCTCAAAAGCCCTATGAATTAATAGCTTAATTAAATTTACTTTATATATATATACTACTAACAAAACTTCTGAAGTGAAAATATAAGTACGTGAGCATTTTATTATGAAAGGTCTTAAATTCGAATCCTCAAGTTTTATTTTACCATCACATCTAAACAAGACCTTTTAACCTCTCCTCGGCATTCAGAGAGCTATTTTTATTGATTTACACCATCCAATCACGTGGCTTGGTGGAAACAAAGTTAAACGCGAAGCTTTCTTAATTATTTAAAATAACTTCCTTTTATTCTTCAATCGTACTACCAATAATTCAAAGAGTGACTAAATTCGTACTTAGAAATAAAATATTATCTTTGTTTGGAATGAAACTGTAGAAGAATATAAATAAATGCTCAAACCATCCTCGTTTTCCAGAAAATACTAATCTTAAAATATACACCTATTTTTAAACGATTACAGTAATAGCGCTATCTATTGGTATTTGTTTAGTTTAGTTGGGTTAACACAAACTAAAATGACTGAAAATATTAATTTCATCTAGAGTACATTTCATGTGAAAAGTTTTAGAATTAAAGAAAATTAACAAATTGCAATAATAATAAAATAGTTCAAACAGAGCTTTAATACAAAAAGATGATTGAAACAGCTATCAAGAACTTGTGGGTTCAAAAGTAGACTAACGATATAGGGCGGAACAAAAGTAAGTTATACTTTAATAAATAACGTTATATTAACAGAGGTATTAGAAGATATAGTTTTATAAACCAAAACCTAATTTCAAGCTTGTCAATCGTAATTCCATATTAATACTTTAGAAAGTTCAGATAGCATAGTAAATGTAAAACTAAAAAAAAAAAATAATTAGGACCTAACCGTTTAGGCTGATAATAGACGAACCTCTGAATAACTAACTTTTATCAGTCCTGAAAGCTTAGGCTTAATAAGATTTATATTAT